CCGTGGCTCAGCCGGGCCTTCGTGTGGTATTGTCTCGCTGAGACGGATATTTAATACTTCACAGCTCTCTGTAACCCTGTCTTATTTAAGGGCATAATCCTCTCTCTCTTAAGAGTGCAGTGACACTGAGCTTTCACTCATCGTGACAGGAATACAACCTGCTTTCTGAACTCAAGTGTAATTAACACTGCCACACAGTTGTGTAAGTGAGATTTGACTGCAGATTTCAGGCTTCACATTATCGTTTTTCTTATTTAAAGGAACATTTAGTACTATGTACATTGATTGGGTGATTCGGGTACAAAATGGAGACTGTCTGTTCTTTGACAAACTTTTCTGGCACTAATGACTGTTTAGTGTTGCGTTTAACCAATGAAAACTGAGTGGATGACGCTAACAATACTGCCAGTATGTAGGTGTAAGATGAGTGTAGTGTTGTCACGGTACCAAAATTTCAGTATTCGGTACCAATACCAGTGAAAATCCACGGTTCTCAGTAGGGGTGTAACGATTCATCGATATGGATCGATACATCGATACGATGTCTGACGATACGATGCATCGATGCCACACGTAAAATATCGATATATGTAGTATAAATAGGCACCTTTGTTTTGGCACTGTCCACATTTTCACAATGTCTGTCTATGCATTACCGCCAACTCGTGCATTCTCGTGAGCATAAAAGATGCTCAGGATTGTTTGCTGAACAGTTGAGCGCTGTGTGAGAAGTTTTCTGCGCACACATCTGAAGCACACGCACGCACACAGACAGCCGCGTCTACACCGCGCGAATACTAATATGACGTTTTGAGAAACAATGAAAAATTTGCTATTTGTCGTGTATGTTTTGCATGATGATATGATGAATGGATGGTTCATTTTTAACAGCAGATTCAGTGACGTTAGAGCTGATCTGCGCTTCACTGCACACGTCTGCAGCGCATTATGGCTCCACGGGAACCGGAGCTGATCGCGGCCGCTCTTGTAAGTGCTTGTGTTTATCAGCCAGCTTCAGCACGTTTCTGAAGCGGCTCTCCGCGCTGCTTGGATAAAAATAGTCTTTTATGAGGTGTCACAGCGTGGAGGACGGAACCTGGAGGACAGCATATGTCTTAACGTAAACAGTTGAGAAAGAAAAGGCATGTGTATCAGTATATTAAATCCGTGCTTCCTTCAGTTTTGAAAGCAAACTAATAATAAATCTAATGCTCTCAAATAAAAATACAAGTGCTCACTGCTCCTGACTAAATAACTAGGGATGCTCCGATCGATTGGCCGGAGATCGGTATCGGCCGATAATCAAGTGCTTGTGTTTATCAGCCAGCCTCAGCACGTTTCTGAAGCGGCTCTCCGCGCTGCTTGGATAAAAATAGTCTTTTATGAGGTGTCACAGCGTGGAGGACGGAACCTGGAGGACATGCTTTTAAATGAACATTTATTTATAAAACAAAATAACTTCTTTGGCCATATTAGCCTACTCAATAGCATTAACAAAGGCTTTACTCCTTTCCAACTTTATCTGGAATGTCACCGTTTCTGTCACTGCAACTTCCCAATCAGGCAAACGAACACACACACACACACACAAAATCGTCTACCTCATGAAAAAAATGTATTTAAAAAAAAAAAGAATGTAGTTAATATTTGCATCATTTATGATTTTTTTATCCACCCGCGACCCACCCGCAAATAATCAGAATGCATTTTTTATTACCCGACCCGCGGATTATCCGCAGCACCTGTGGATATAGGAAAAGCAAAATAAGTTTGCTGCCGAAATCAGACGGACTTACTGAAAATGCAAATTAATTCTCTGCCGGCAGGAGGTTCTTTAAAGCGGGAGAAACATAGGTTTCCCCGGTAATGGTTGTACACAAAGCAGCGCTGAGCTCACAAACGCTGCTTTATCAGGCATATAACGTGCAAGATGAAATGAAAATGACATCGAAAATTTTCTAAACATAGTCTTCCTTCAGAAATACAGTGATATAAAAACACCCACACCTCGTTGATTTTTAAACTTGCAGTACGTGCTCATGTTTATTCAACGAAGCCTTTTGGAAAATCCGTCAGTTTTGATATTGTGGCGAGCGCCACAGATAAATAAATGTATGGGAAACACATCCCAGAGCACAACCATGTGAGCCCAACTTCAGTCTACTCATCACCTTAACTTTAACTGCGTTTGTAGCCGGCGCCATAGCCAGACTGATAAACAAACAGACCGGAAGTTAACTTCAGGCCTGGCGCGTGCGTCCGATGAAACTGTCTATATAAAGCTTGAAGCATCAGAATCGGCATCGGTATCGGCCGATCACCATGACAAGAAATCGGTACTCAGTATCGGCTGCAAAAATCCTGATCGGAG